ATATATATATATATATATATATATATATATATATATATATATATATATCACTCTCATTAGCATTCATTCAATAAAATAAACTATATTTAGAAAATCCAAAATATCCTTTGATAATTTCATCAAAATTTCAAACATAAAAGAACAATATTATAATTACCAATGTATATAAGAATCTACATAATATTTTTGAATACATTAACATCATTATAAATGTCATTTATGTAACATTTTGTGTTTTACAAGTATATATATATATATATATATATATATATATATATATATATATATATATATACAGTTTTTATATACAATTTTTCCTATAGTTTCGATAACAATCATCCCGAAAAACTCAAATAAACTATTTTTTAACTATAATTAATCTTAACTAATTTATGATAAAATATAAAGTAGAAAAAAAATATAATTGATATTCTTATCAAGATAATAGTTTTAAAATATGTTTATGTTAGTTAGAGTTTAAACAATTCCAAGTATAAGAAGAAACATATATATGCATATTTTTGCCTTTTATTATTATTTTCCTTTTGGGCGATTAAAAGAAATCGTCTTGACGCCGTTCGCTCGACCCCCCAACGGTACTGACGGAGGGCCCAGGGCAAACCGGTCAAATCGCGAGCCCCATCTTTTCTAAAGCCTTCAAAAACCCATGGTTTCGCCTTACTCCAGCTTTGGCGCTCTTCCCCCTCTCTTCCCTCTTTCCATCCTTCCCTCGTCGCTTCGTCTCTCGTTGCCTTCCTTCTCCTGCATCGGTTTCCTGTCTCGGTCCGTCGATAGGGTTTCTAGGACCACAACCCCCATGGGCGATTCTAGGGTCTTCGCGGAGCCGCGAGGGAACCCCGCGAGATCCGGAGCTGGGGTTGTCTCCAGAATCCGCCTCGAGAACTTCATGTGCCACAGCAGCCTCGAGATCGAGTTTGGTGATTGGGTCAACTTCATCACCGGCCAGAACGGGAGTATGCCGGATCACACCCACCTCGATCACTGGTTTCTGGATCTTTGTTTTTCGTTCGTGCTGAACTAGGGTTTTGTTCTGTAGGTGGAAAGAGTGCGATACTGACCGCCTTATGTATTGCGTTTGGGTCCCGAGCGAGGGGCACGCAGAGGGCGTCTAGTTTGAAGGATTTCATAAAGACGGGTTGCAGGTATATTTGATTTCCTTTTTCCTGTCCTTTTAATTCGTCATTGACGAAAAGCCCGCTTTTTTTTTTTTTCTTGTGTCACTGGGAAAATTCATTTTCTGGATATTGTTTATTTGTTTGTTGATTGTCTTGTTTGGTTCTGTTTGAGTGCGGTGTATGTGTTACGAATGGCATTTGATTAGTAATGTACACATTTATGGGATCCCGCTACTTGACTCAGGGAAATGTTATTATCTTACTGCGCTTAGTGGTTTGAAGACTAGCTGGGTTGTTTTTGGACACAACTGATAGTGGTAAAGAAGGTTTGTAGATTAAGAATTCTTTTAGTATTTTACTTCATAAAAAAATCTAATATTGTGTGAATGAGCCTGATACTGGAAAATGTCATATTTGTGGCTGCAGATGATTTAATTGGAACATAATGATTATTATAGAATAAAAACTATTGTGTAATGTAAAAAACATTGTCTTGGTTACGAGGTGATATAACCATAATATAATTTGTTGGCTTTGTCACGGATAAATTTATATACAGGGTGTTTGATTTAATGTTTGTGTTTGTCTGCCTTTTGGTTTTGTTCATGCTTTTCATAGCATGTTGAGGGCTTACAGTAAGCTTGACAGTTTCATTTTGGTTAGTTTTTGTGATTGTTTTAGTTTAGTAAACGCAAATTGTGTGTGGTAATCGTGCAGAGGCAAAACTGCCTAAAAACAAGATATGTAGATAGCCTTGGCATGAGGCAAGAGGATGCGGCGACAGTACTCTTGAATAATATGTCGTAGTGTTGCCATTCGAGTTGCCACAAAAGAAGCTGTGCACAACATAGATTGTGCTAGGGGTAGGGGCCCATGATCTAGACAATGACACATCAATTTCAGTGAAGTCGGTAGACCTCGAGAGATGTTGGGCAACAGACTATCCTTGAGCTGCGTTTTGTCCATGTGTAACCTAAAAGTGGGCGGACGAAGGTTGATTACCAAAGAAGATAGCACAATCGAAGGTGGTGGAGGTCTTGTGATGTGTAGGTGAAGGCTACAGACGGAGAGATCGCAGTCCAAGTTCATCCCACAAAGATTAGAATGGAATAAAGATGTCACTAGGAGGCGACATGATGTAGCGGATCGTGATGGAACAATTTGAGGCAATGCGGCACATACGGGAGAAGTCATGTGAGAGATTCGATTATACAGAGGTATGATTGAGAGCCATTGGGAGCTTCACTTCAGTGAGCAACACGACAACAAGAAGGGTTATGAATTCAATTAGTGTATACCATCGTACTCGCTGAGGTAAGTCTTTCGTACATGTATCGAATTTTGCATCAGATAAAAGCTTTGATCGTCAGCTTATGAGGGTTGTGTACCATTGAGGGGGATTCCAAGTGCAAGTACCAACGAGTCTCATGTGGGGGGCTTGATCATACATAGGTATGATCGAAGCGAATGGAGAGTTGGATTGCTCCAAAACTCATATTCACTTGAGGGAGCTTGACAAGTCTGAGGACAAATCCGAACGAACGAACATCCTTCCAAGGATGCAAAGGAGAACAAAATCGACACGAGCTCTACAACATGATGGCGGAGGCCATGCGTGAGAGTTGTAGTATGTTGTTCCATCAACCAAGGGGGATTGCTTGGAGAAAACAGAGACATTGAAACAAGTGGTCGAAAGGGGCGAGGAAGTGATGACGAGTCCAGAAGGACTTAACTACTCGAAGCCAAGCGTCAGTTAGAATGAAGGTGGACTCAGAGGAGTGCCACACTGTCATAGAGGTGAATCTATCGATCATGAAGAAAGAGATGTATATACGAGGTGACGAATAGTAGGGCCATGTGCACAGTAGCGCCATGGTACTGTAGAAGCAAGACTTTTCTGGAGTTATTGATCCTTTGCTCTTATAGAGGGAGAGTGTATGGTTGTGAAAGGGGGTCAAGGAGATGGAAAATGCTAAGGCAAACTCTATGTATCGAGCTAAGACAAAAGGATAGAGGTTAGGAAACTTCATAAAACCGGTGTTGATGGACTTCTCATCAAGATTGTCGAAAGTGGGGGACTTCGGGTTGATGCAGGAGTGTTCGACCAAGGAACGAAGTAGGCTGTATGCGGTGCTATACCTTTTCTATTCAGAGGAGCAGGCAACGAAAATGATGGAGAAGATGGTACAATTGGAGAGGTGACCAAAACTATCGGAGACTTGCTCTAAGTCGTGTAAAATTTTTCTCTTTTTAGGTAAAAGTTTTTGCATTCTAGAAGTTCGATGACAATGAGGAGGAAAATTGCATTAGCCAACTCAATGCAAGGAGTGCAAATACTTTGGGTGCTTTAAAAGTGTGAGCAAAGAGCAAGCGAAGGATAGTAACCAGCTTGATGCATGAAGTACAATCCTTGAGGAGGCGGATGAAATCAAATAACCTTTGACTTCGTAACTCTTAAGAGAATGAGCAAAACCAAGTATCCTAGTTCTCTTATTTATCCAACAAATGATCTCTACACATATTCAAAGATCCTTCAAAAAGACTTAGTGGAAGACTACAACTATTATATCTTTACTAATGGTGATTGGTTCTATTGAGAGTAGATTGTTTGTTTTATTTCCCAATCAAATACCATAAAAAATAGAAGTTATGCGAACTTCCTTGGAGGTAATAATTAAGCAAAAAAGGAATCAATGAACAAATTTTACGGAGGAAAGACCTTATAAACTTTCAAGTCTGCAAAGCGATGCTCGTTAAAGTTTTAATAGGCATCCAACCAGTTCAAACAACGCGAGACGTTTGAGAGATCAATGCATAATAAAGAATGTCTTTTTCTTCATATGAGGGATCTGCAAGAACTAGCAAAAATCAACACAGCTTGACCGACCCCACACCAGAGTCAGAGTCATTGGCGAATTGAAGCAACATTAGCGGATCAAAGTTTGACCGTACACTAGTTGCTCTCTAGCGATGGAGAGCAACTGGAAGTCGTGGGAGGTGTGTTGTAGCTAAAGCATAAAATTGAAGATTCAGTAAAGACGAGGAGATGTCTGTAAAGACTTCAAATGAATAAGTGGAGGAGAATGTCATGGAGAAATCTGTACACAATGTATTCGATATAATGTTTGTGTATGTTCGTATCTTTCAGTTTTGTTCATGCTTTTCATGGCATGTAGAGGGCTTGTAATAGGATTGACAGCTCCATTTTGGTTGGCTTTTGTGGCCGTTTTAGTCTTGTAACCAGAGGTTGTGTGCAGCCACCGCACAAAGGAAAATCTACCCCAAAATAGGCCATCCAGGTAGTCATTTTGGGGGTTTTCTAGCTCTGTAGAGTGGTGCAGAGTGTCAACCAGTACAATACTCTAGAGTTACTCGGATGACATATGACTAAATGGGCTTTTGGGGTATTGTCTGGGGCTAGTTTGCTGTATTGTTTCACAACAATGTCATATGGGGACTTTTAGTCGTGACGAACCATCTTGAACCCTTTGTCATGCGATCGTTCAGAGCTTGCAAAGTCTATATTTGTAATTTGCGTTGCCTATCAAGTGTTTGTTGAAATGTCTACTTGTGGGATCCCGAGTTAAACACTTCCTGTAACCCGTCTTCTCTTTTGCAGGTCCTTATGGGACCATAAGAGGTTTCAGAGGGGTCGATCCTTTATGGATGGACACACAAGAGTGTCGCACAACTTAGGTAAAACTAACTAAGTTTGTGATAATGTGGTACCTGTCATTATGGTGCCTCACCATGACTTATGTTATTTTTTTTATTGAAGCTTCTTTTCATCTTAAGTTTGGAGTAATCCTATGTAGTTGATGTAAAAGGTATTGTTGTTTATTTTCTCGAATGAATGACTTCCATTAACATGGAAACATACGACTCATTCTTGAGTAGCTATTTGTTTATTGACCAGAACTGTGGGTTAACATTATCATCCATTTACGAATGACTTTTTATGTTGTTGATGCTAGTAGGCAAACTATAATGTTATAATCCAACTTTAGTTCTAACTAGTTCTCTTATCGCATTTTGTGCCTTTTGGTAATACACAAGGATGCAACTCTTCTTCATTTCTAAGCAATTTTTTGTGTGTTCAACTTTTAACAGCAAAAGTTTTGTTCTGTAACCAATTTCCACCTACACCATTCACCCTATGCTCCGGACCACTTATTCGTCTTTAATCTAAATGTTTATTGAGTAAGCTCTTCCTTGGAAGAGAACTTATTTGTTTACGTAACTCTTCCTTTTATTCTGGATGGTCAATTTTGAGAAGCTAAGGTTGCACATCGGTGATGTCTGACTGAGTTTAAATAAAGTAAACAAACATCCAAAAAAGCAAACTGTGATGAAGCATGAAATAAAGATAGAAGGCACAACTGGTTCCCAGGCACACTCATGCTCATGCAATTTGAATTTTTTGAGGAAACTTGCACTTAAATATAGTTTCAGAAAGCTTTGATATCAATTGAGATCTGTTTTGAATTGCCCATGGTATCTGAAGCCACAAGATAGATTGTGAAACCTGAAAATATAATAGAGTCCACGAAACCATCTTAAGTCTAATTCTCAAACTGAGGCTTTGGTGAGATTGATGTATGAGTGTGAGGCTTAGAGTAGGAAAGTAATATGAAATTTCTGATTGTGTGGATGGGTCATATAGTTGCACTTGTAAAGTTGGAAGGATTTCAGCTTAGCACGTCATAAATTAGTTCTTTAAAATAAAACAACTTTTAACTAATTCATCTGTGCTTTTTCCTCTTTTCCATCACCATAGAAGCAAATATGAAGTCAAGGTTATATCCTTACTGTTTATGTTTCTCTCTTTGTAGGTGCTTGTGCTATGTTCACAAAATGAGTAGTATCAATTTTCTTAGGTCAACTAATAGTGAATTATATGGTGCTCTTGTCAATTTTGGTGTTTAGTGTAGAAAAGGTATCCAATTTTGTTGAGTTATTAGGTTCTTAAACAGGAAGCTCACATTAATTTGGTATTTCATCAGCGGGGCTAGGCATTGGAACTTGCTCTAAAACATGATGGCTTTTCTTCTTGCAGTTATGCTACTGTTCTTGTTCAAATAAAGAATCACGGGGAGGATGCTTTCAAGCATGAATCTTATGGTGACCTCATCATGATAGAACGCAGGATAACAGAGTCATCAAGTTTGATTATTTTAAAGGACCATCAAGGTTAAATATATTCTCCTCCCCCTTTTATTTTTTTGTTGATAGATAATATCATAGTTTTTATTATTAAAAAGTAACCGGTATATTATCCTTTTATTTTCTCCTTTGAATATTATTTTAACTTAAGAAACAAATGGATTATCCTTCATTAGAAGGTGATCTTTCTTAATGATTAATTTTATCTTGGGATTAAACCCCATTATATTGTATAATGATAGGAAACATTGTGATGGAAGAATCATTATATAACTGTAACCGTTATAGAAAAAGAAATCATATGTTTAGTTGTTAGACTTAGAAATTGTCAACTTTGTTGGATTTAATCTTATAGTAGTGTTTTTATAAGTTTTAGGTGCATTTTACCAAGGTCCCAAAATGTTTGACGTGCTAAGTGCTCGCTCGAGTAAGGCACTCCCAAATATTAAAACTTAAAAATTATATTATGATTGATAAATAATTAGATATGATTACAAAAATAAAGATGGTGCAACAAACTAATTGACCTTTATATGGTAATAGTGTAATATAGAGTCCCAACTCTTTGGTAGCGAGTTAATTGATCACAAACTCCTAAGTTCTAACTTCTAACAGATTAACAATGCGCCACCTCAATATGGTGCAACAAGTTAATCGATAAAAGTATTACCTATAAAATGAGAAAGAGAGGATTGAGAAGATGGAGAAGTAATTGACGGTTGTGGAGGAAGGTGGAAACTAGCGACAGATGAAGCTGGAGAGGGCGGTAGACGAAGCTACAATGGCGAATGGATGAAGTTGCAATGGTAGATGAAGTTGCTGAAGGTGGTGGACAGAGCGTATGAAGGCGGTAGACAAGGTTGCCGACTGCGGTGGGCAAAGTGGATGGAGCTACAGTGGTGGATGAAGTGTATGAAGGTGGTGGATGAGCGTTAGGGTTTCACTTCTGGTTTCTTTCATTGGGTCGGGCACATGCACGGGAGGGGGAGTGGGGTGTGGTGGGGAGTGGGTTTGATTGAAACCCACTTAACCAGTCAAACCCAGACTTGAAGTCGACTCGATTTGGCTTGTGCGTTCGCCTAAGGCGTCCAATGCTTAGGCTCAGCCATGCGCTAGAGTGATGCTTCATTGAAACACCTTACCCTGAGGTGTTGCAAGGCGCTCAGGTTTTGCCTCACCCGAGCGTCTAGGTAAGCGCCCGAGTGCTTTTTGAAAACATTGCCTCATAGGAGGATGAACAAGCAAATATTGAAGGAGTTATAATCTAGAAAGTAAAAGAAATAACATCGAGCTTTTTAAGAATAGCTTGCCAAAAGGGTATCCAATGTTTAAGAGGCATTAGTTTCATCATTGAAAACAGAATTTGGATTGTATGTCATTTTGGCTATATTGGATTTGCTGGGTCATTTAAAGTAATCTGAAAATGTCAAACAATGATGACATTAATGGCAAAAATAGAAAGATTTTTGAAATTGTTAGAAGCAAGGTTTTTAATTTCGAATGATATCACCCGGTACGGGCAGTACGTACCGATCCGCTAGCAGACCGGTACGTGGATTGCTTGCTACCGGGCGGTACCGTTGATTGGGGCTGTTTTTGCCCCATTACCACCTGAAATCGGTCGGTGACGGTCGATTTCGACCATCGCCACCCACTACCGGGCGGTATTAGCCGAGGGAGAAGGAAGAAGAGGGAGAAGAAAAGGGAGAACCTGGAGATCCGATGTTGCTCTCCCTCGACGATCCCGATCTGTCGCCGCCCTCCCTCGTCGGACACCGTAGATGAGATGTCACCTCCTCCTTGTCTGAGGCGATAAGGCCTCGACGTCTTGTCGTGGGGAGAAGAAACCTCGGCGATGTCACCAAGGCTTCACGGGGAGACCAAGGCGTCGTCGGCGACTTCGCCTAATCCACACGGGGAGAAGAAGCCTCGGCATGGGGAGAAGTATCCTCGGTGACGTTGTCGAGGCTTCGAGGTTTTCTTCTCCCCACGCGGGGAGAAGAAACGATGCGATGTCATCCCTTTTCCTATTTTTTAACTTATATATATATATATATATATATACATATACATATACCAAGCGGTATGTCAGAACGTACCACTCAGTATACTCGTATCGTACTGTATCGAGTTGAACTCGATACTTCAGTACGGTACGAAATTATAAACCTTGGTTAGAATTCATAGAACAAAAGAAAGATTTTTGAAAATGTTAGAAGCCTACGGAACAAAATTGACTTAAGCTGAAAGTGCTCTAGTCAATGAATTGCAATTTATTACTAAATAACAGTATTCAAGCTTTGTGTCACTGGATATAGTTATTCGAGATCTGTAGCTTTATACTTAAAAGATACTCTCTCTAGCATGAATGCTGTATTTCCTATTGCTTTTTCTACAAACAAATATATGATTACATGTGCTAGATCACACATTTCACCTGCTTACAAGAGTTAATTTTCTACGTGGTCAACACTGATTTTAGAGTGAATGGGTCAAGTTTAGAGTTGCTTCTGAAATATGTAACAACTTTACTGGTAATGTATTTATCCATAGTGCCATTGGAATTTGCATGCAGGATTTTTGCTGATTATATTAAGTTAATTTAATCTGAAAAGAAAAGCAGTTCAACTACATAAAAAATATGTAGAAGTTTTTCTTCTGAGAAGAATCTCTATGGATTATTGATTGAGCATTTTCATTTATATAGGAAGTGATGGGAATCAAATTAAACTTTGAATTCTTTTCTATTACAATATTTTATATTATTTTTCTATGGTAAATCACACATTAAATACTGAGTTTAGTCATTTAATAAGTTTTTGGTGTTGTTCATCTATATTAGTTTTATGTTTTTGAATAGGGAAGAAGGTCTCTAATCGGAAAGATGAGCTACGTGAGCTAGTGGAGCACTTCAATGTGAGTATTAAACTTTCATTCCATCATTATGCTACATCTTAGCAACTATTTCATGCACATGCTTTGCAATTGAATATAAGAACAATCCTCCACATTCTTTATTTTCGGTTCCTGTTCCTTTCTGGAACCTCATGTCTCAAGAAGTTCATACTGTGCCAATAGTTGGATATGAGAAGCATCAGCTAAGTTGTTTTGTAAAAACACTCATCATCAATTCTATTAATGCTAGTTTTTCTTAGTGTGAACATAGAAACTGTACTGACTCTTATTGCTCAGTAGTGGCTTGTTTGTGGGCTTTCTGTAGTTGTGTTCATTTTATTTGCAGCGGATATCTATGATAGCGAAATTCTAAAGCTACTCAGGATTTACATGGACTGCCATGCTGGCACTTTGGCTATTTGGTTAGTTTGGGCACTAAGCCATGCTATTTAGCAAGGTTTTGAATACCGTTGGTAGTACGATGTATCAACTGGTATATACCAGTCCCACTAAGGACCGATATTAGACCGTGTGGTTGGGTATTGGTCTGGTATTTCTTTATTATCTTTTGGCTGGCACTGAGCAATACAGGTCAGTGTACTCACTACATGGTACACTGGTATCATACTGGTCTAATAGATTACCTAAATGGGTATGGCACTGAGATGTAAAACCATGCTATTTAGTTCACATTTTGTCAGTCTTTAAAAGGGAAAAAGTATTGTATTGATCTACTAATGCGCCCATACAGATCTTAGATAAGTTACATTAGATCTGACAAACTGCACCTTCATTTCCTTCTGGATAGTATATTGTAAACTTTCCTGCAGAAACAGTTTTAGATTTCTACGTTATTGTTGTTTGCCCTGATTCTAATTCGTATGTTTAGAATCAATTTACAATCTGTTCACACTCTTCTATATTTGTTCTTGAAACAATGATACTGTCACATGCAAAAAAAAAAAAAAGTGGGTAATGGTTCAGAATCTACTTTGTTGCTGTAAATTTGTGTCTGTTTAACGCTTGACAAGCTGTGAGCTCAGAATAAAGACAAATGAGGAGACAGAGGATCTCCTTAATGGAGTCCTGGGAAGGACATGTTTTGCCATTAATACGAATCAAATATGACATTGTATGTGTTTTATTATCTTGGACACCTAATTGTTACCAAACCCCAACCTCAGCATCAGTTGATACTTGAATGGCTGTTCAACCTTATCATAGGCCCTTGAAATATCCAAAAAACAATCAAATAATCAGAAGCGATTAAACACCTGGAATGAAAGTCTTGTGTGTCATCTATAGTATCAGACTATCAGGAACTAGAGTTTTTAGTCTATTTGCAGGAGCTCTCATAATTAGTTTCAATGCTTCGTTATATATGTATAGGTTGATGTAGTTTTAGGGATTTTTTTTGTCTCAGGAACTAACGAATGAATTATTTAACTTTCAAATATGTCTTGTTGGTTCATAATGCTATGAGAAGAGTTAATTATATTCTTTGAATTATCTTCCGAAAGGTCTGGGAAAATCTCATAGTCATTTTATCTTGGCTTGGAGTGTTGGATGGATGTATATGCAGAAAAGTAGAGAAAGATTTCTTCTTTTCATAAGTTCTCTTCTTTGGCTTGCTTTAACATTGAAAAAAATTGTATTTTTTTATCACCCTCATTGAGCAAAACCTTGATATCGTACACTTCTCCACATAGTAACTTAGTGCATGTGCAGGTGGAGCTCTGCATCCAATTATTCATTGTTGCACTAGAATTTTATCGAGTATTTTCTCATATAGTTTGCGTGATGAGTCGTTGCAACAAAATTCAATGCTATTTTTCGGTACTTAATAGCATAACTAGGTAATGGTCTAAAATTTTATTGGTGTTACCCATGCGCTAATGGTCTAACATTTTGCTGGTGTTACCTGGAAGTGGTTATAGACTTGGACACATTAAATCTTTGTAACAAGATGTGAGCTAAACTGTAGTATTAATATATCTTAAGCAGTTTGTTTAAGTTGATGTTCCATATATTTGTGGAAGATGGCCACCAGTCTCCTACATGTGATGATGCTTATGCTAACTTAAGCTAAGCAACACTCCAGCAGTATAAAAAGGAAAGAAATATCATATGCTCTAAGAAACAGGTTGCTTTTTAGTTTTTACTCTATTGATGTGGAACATGTGCTTTCATATAATTTGCGAAAAGGAAATAAGCATAATTATCTATTACTTGGCATGAAGTATTCTGTGTTCTTCATGAATTTCAGTGTGTTGTGTGTTTTATTTACTTGTACACTACAGTGAAAATCAATGTAAAATGTTTGATTCCTAAAACATTTTTGGATTCCATGTGATCAGGGATTTTTTAGGCTGGAGGGATGCCAATGTTAACAGATGCACAATAGGTTGATCTAATCATGTATCTGCTTATATGAATGTGAATTGATGACCAATTTTACTTACCTTGATCAGATCTGATTAAGCCACGTTTGTGCTGCTTCTGTTTGGTTGGAAAATCAAAACTTTTTTGGTTAGTAGTCCCATATTGGTATTAAAAGTTTATATTGACTGTATGTTGTCTGAAATCGAGAAACCAAAATTAGTGGTTTTCAAATTTATTGCATGAGAGAGATTTTGATGGTGACCAAAATAATTGGTAGAACTCGTGTTGGTTAAGTAATCCATGTTCCATGAAACATTAATGATTTAGCTTGAAAAGAATAGAAAGCTCGACTTGGTCTGAATGACTCATTGTTTGATACAATTTTGTAGCATGCAGACTTTCTTTTTTTATTGTAATAGTTAGGAGAAAGAAAGATTTTAAATACTGGATACTGACCTTGTATTGGTCTTTGACTCTTTGTACTTCCATATAGACATATATGGTTAGGAGAAAAGGGATTAAATCCTGGATATTGGTTATGTATCTGTCCCCTCTTGGTCTGTTGTGGAATGTTGGTATAACATAGTATACTTCAGTATATCACTAGAAAAACCATCAAATATCACTTGAAGCATCAATATACTTTGATATGGCATGCTATATTGCATGATGGGTTGCAATATATGGTTGGTAGACCTGGTAGTTGGCACACTGCAATATATGAATTCATGATTAAAAACATATAACCCTGTTTCTTCTTTCCTTTAGTTGCTGTTCAGACTATTGCTATGCAGGTTAACCAGGAAAATCTTATCCTGTAATCTTGCTGATGATCTTTCAGTCAAGCCATTCCATGGTTGTATGCTTTGATGGCTTGTTTTGAAAATCTCATTTGTATAATATGGGTAATAATTTGTTCATGAAGGCTTATATTTACTCTTAGGTGACATATTATAATTCTTGCAGATTGATGTGGAAAATCCATGTGTCATAATGAGCCAAGACAAAAGCAGAGAGTTTTTACATTCTGGGAGTGATAAAGACAAATTTAAGGTGAATATTGAATTTAACTTTGGTGAATAATATTGTATTTAATTTTAGTGAATATTTGTGCCTCGACTGTTAGTTCCATGAGTTCGTTGAAGTTTTTCTTTTAAGATTATGTTTATTTTAAGAATGTAAAAGTATATATTGCTTTAGATTTAAGGAAGAAATAAACTGCAATGTTGTGATAGTTTTCGTGATGATTCTGTTCCACTAGCTATTTTAATTTCTTCTTTCAAGTGTTCTATAAACATATACTTTTTGCACAGTTCTTTTTCAAAGCTACACTTCTTCAACAAGTCAGTGAGCTTCTACAGAATATCAGGACTGAGCTGTCTGCTGCAAATGAGATTGTTGATGAACTAGAGTCATCAATAAGGCCCATTATCAGGGAACTCGATGAGTTGCGTAACAAGATCAAGGCTATGGAGCATGTAGAAGAAATTGCTCAAGAAGTGCAACATTTGAAAAAAAAGCTGGCATGGTCATGGGTATATGATGTTGACAGGGAAATCCAGGAGCAAAATGTCAAACTTGAAGTGCTTAAAGAACGTATTCCCACTTGTCAAACAAGAATTGACAAATATACGGTAAGCTATACACTGACTGTAATGTTTTCCTTCAGCCTTGTGTTATTTGACTTATCAGGCATCATACTAGTGTGTTGATCTATTGACTTACTTTATCTAACACCTGATATATCCTTCACCTTTTTGGTTAGCTTATAGTGTCATACAGAATTCTTCACACAGGACAACATCAGACAAAAGTAATCCTGTTAGTTTTTTCTTAAAGCGTATTACCTTATTGTTCTTGCAGGCAGAATTTTGTCATGTTTGATAGCCTTCTTTTTCTGCCATTTAATAAACTTGAACTAAGATGTGATTTCTGTGTTTGGGAATGATATTAAATTTCTCATTTTGGTTGACTTGAAAGGAGACCAAAAGCTGTTAGGGACCTCTTTTTTTAGATGCTACACTATTTCATATGTAATCTCCAAGTAATATTTTCAATTGTTGTATGATTTAAGGTAGTTTACATCAAATGAGGTTGTGCTAAACACATATTCTGGCTGATCTTTCCCAGGCTAGGGCCGTCTGACATCTATGGCCCATAATTAAGATGTTGTTGTTTGGGTCTAGTGAGACCGTGACTTAATTGGCTCCATTTAGGTTTCTAATCATGCCCAATGTGCACTATAACAAAATAAAGCCATTGTAAGCCTCTTTGGGCATCACTTAATATATATATTTTGTGTTATTCCTGTCAAGGATTAAAATATCATATCGTACCGAAGTTTCGATATTCTCTCGGTATGGTACGGTACTATATACCGCTCGATATACCGTTCGATATTCTCTCGCTTCGGCGACGTCGCCTTTGTTCTCCCAAGCGGGGCGACGTTGCCTCTCTCTCTATATATATAAATATAATCTTTTATTTCTATATCTATTTATTTATGTATTTATATATAAAAGTTAAAAAAAATGTGTGACGTCGCCTTTATATATATATAAAATCTTTTATTTATATATCTATATATATATATATATATATATATATATAATTAAGTTTTAAAAAGTGTGACGTTGTCTCTCTTCTCCCAGGCTCGTTGACGTCGCCGAGAGAATGTATTTTTTTATTGTTGAAACAGCCAGAAATAAATATATATATATATATATATACCACCCGGTAGCGAGCGGTCCGTGTACCAGTTTACTGTCGGACTGGTATGTACCGCCCATACCGGGCGGTATCATTTGAAAATGTATACCTTGATTCTTGCAATAAAAACTTTGGTGTTCTTCTAAATTTGCTTGTGGGAGGTTGCTTCTCTTGTGAAGCTAGAGAAGCACTAGTTAAATGGTGTAATCTTTCTGCTTTTATTTAACACTAAAGGGCAATTTTCACTTAGTCTGGATTATTACTTGAACCTTGGACTTGTTTTTTTTTTAATTTTTGAACTTTGTGGTTGATTTAGGTGTTTCAAAGGGGTTAATTTTCTAGTTGCATTTGATTTGATAAGACCTGAATCTACAACCTCACACACTTATTTTGGTTGGTTTGGCTGTGGTGTGCTAGTTATTACAGGTATGTGCTTTAGCTTTATCAGCAGCAAAAGAACTAGAGTGGTCTTTCTCCCAAAGAAGTGGCCGAGTGCAAGGAAAGTTAGGGAAGGGTAAACAAGTAGCAAAGAATGATGAAAAAAAAAAAAAGGATATGAATTTGGAGGAATTCTTATCACCAAGGAAAAGAGGAAGAAAGGAGAATTATCACCTGTCTTTTTTTCTTTCAGTTGATTATTGCATTCATAACCATAGTTGTGGAAGAGCATGAGTCTGCTGTAGCTGTTAATATCTAAAATTAGTCGAATATTTCTAAAGTAGGATGAGTAAAAAAATACATTTCTTGCATTTTTAATTTATGTCATTGTGAGCCAACTTGTTTTGGCTATTTCAACAATAATTTTATAGTTCTATTTCTGGATTATTTTTCTATCTTGTGATTGTTTATATTGCAGGTACTTTTCACTCAAGGTGTTTAAGCTGATAAATATTTATGTTTGTTGAAATGTATCATGTTTTTTTTTTGCAAAATATTATGTGCTCACTTAATTCTATTTTATCTGGAAGATTTCATTGACATTGTTTTTCCTGGTTATCCTTGTTAGGCTCTTGTGGATGAGTTGAAGGGATTACTTGCTTCTAAGAAAGCTGAAATAGCACACTTAATGGAGAAGACTTCAGAAGCAAGAAAATTGAAAGATGAACTGCAGCACTGCCTTTCGGCTGTATGCAATTATTTTTTATTGATCATTGGTCTATTGTTGGTTAAACAGTTGTAGATGCTGTATCAAGTTTTTTCTCTCCTTTAGTTGGTTTCTTTTGGTTGACTTGGAAATTGATGGGTTAATTTTATAAGGTTCTTGACCTTGCTGTTATCTCATTGGTATGATTACTAAGTATTTAGCGATAAAAGACTGCAACAATGGTAATGAGACTTTGACCCAAACTATTTGGGGTTGTACATTTTCCATCTCTTGTGTTGGACTGAGAGATCTTCTGTTTCTAATCTGGATGCTGTACCTTTTCTGATACATGATATGTTGTAACTGCTGATCTATATAAATTTCTTTTGTTACACTTCAGGATAGCATTCTAATTGATTTGCCATGGACCATTTTTTTTTGAATTATAAGTTGCTCATTAAATTTGTTTAATGCACTTGGCTATGATAATCTTTCTCAATTTTTATTTCTTTTTTATGCTGGTTTTGGGTAAGTTGTCATGACATTAACCTGCAGTTCCAAATTGCTTTGTAATTGTTACATACTTCTTAGCTAAGATGATGTGCTTTGGGTAAGTTATTGCTCTTTTTATATAGGGAAGCTAATCAAGTCTTTTAGCCTCCTATGCTAGGAAGACTAAACTGAATCATTCCTGGAGGATGATGTGCCTTATGATTTGCTTGCTTTACTTCTAAAGGAACCATTTAGTTGGACCACAAACATGCACTCTTTTTTCAACATAAAGGAAAATAGGAAATAATATATTTTCTTTTTAATTCTTCTCAACTTCTCATGTATACAAAAGAAAATCATATGAATTTCATTAAAATAAGGTTTTGAATCTTTGTTTGGTGCCAGTATCAGTAATCTACCATGCTAGTACAGTACCAGTGGACCATGCAGTATACTGACCCATACCAATCCGGTACCAACATACAAAATAATAAAACACACCGATTGGTACCAAACTGCATAGTCTGTCTGATACTGGTCGGTGTGCACTGTACTGATCGGTATATGAAACCCTGCATCAAACATCATGTGCTTGCTTCTTCTTGTACTATTTTTTGTTCATACCTTATATCACATGATAGCTTTTCTTGGTGGTGCATTCATCTGTTTGTTTGCAATCTTGGCAAAGTTGAGCTTTACCAATCATGATACCTTAGATCTGCTCTGATGCCACAATCTTGGTAAAATATATTATAACCTGTTTAATTTTGTAGGCTACGAAAGACAAGCTTGAGCTTGAAGGGGAGTATTCTCGAGAAAATAACATGGTTAGGAAACTGACTCATCGTGTAAAGTTGCTTGAGCAGCAAATTCATGATATTAAGGAGCAATATAAAAGAAATACACAGGTTTGCATATCTGTATTTCTTATACATTGCTCATACTTTTTGTGATCAAATGAATACATCCACTTTAAATTATCATAAAATTTCATATGTGATGTACTTCGAGGGTAGAACTTCATACTCATGCTTTATGTGTCCAAAAGCTTTTAGTGTACATTTTATGCTGAAACATGGGCGGCATTAATATACTGAGATATCATGTAACTGAAAGTAACTACCACTGATGCATTAGAAAGTAACTGAAAGTAATATATGTCACTTAGGTCAGATAGTTCAGTTCCTAAATTTAGATATTTTAACTATTTTATTCTTGTGAAATTGTACATAATATATCAAATAACTTCATTTTTAGTTTTTTTATTTGTATTTAAATCTCTAGTCATTGCTAATTTTTTATTAATTTGTGCATTGTTTAAAGTTGTATACATAATTATGTGTATACTAGTGTAAACATGTCATTATAAGTAGACTGTAGATATAAAATTGGTCTATACCCACAACCTTTTGTTGGTTGTAATTTTGCCCCATTATATTGGTTATGTGGATGTAAGCACCTCCTGTGCTGTCATACCTGTTACATGCATTTCGTATTTGCGCTTCCCTTTTCTTGTTGGGACATGCAGAGTCTGGTTACTTCTGCCGTAAGGTATTGAAGCTTTTCATATATATATTTTTTGTTAATATTGCAAATCAGACCTGGATCTGCTTATGACTAATAACCAAGTATACAAGGTGTTTCTAGCCGCTGAAACTGAAAAATTGTCCTTGCTGTAATGATTCAAGGACCAAAAATGGATGAAATCTAGGTCATCTATCATCTATGTTAAACCCTTCGATTATACATTCAATGAAATCAATCAGTACTGGGGCAAGGACACCATTTTAACAACAAATTAATTTATCATAAGCTTCATTGATTGATGAAAGCATCTGCATAAACAAGGATATTTTGGAGCCTGGTGAAATACTTGTTATGATGTTCTAAATTTGCTGATTGTCGAAGGGATTCATATCATGGGCAGTTTCATCCATGTATTTTTTTTGCTTTGTTAATAGCTAAAATCATATATTATGTGCATGATTTTGTTAGCTGAAAGTAGGCCAACTTTAATTCTTTGACAATCTTTGCTTGTATATATCATTGCTTTTGGAAACATGGAGCTAGCATGAATATGGCATCAGTAACTTTGTGTGATTTTCAATCTAAGGCTGAGGTGTCCAAGATTGAAGAACAAATGAAGAAACTCCAAAATGAGGTTGATATAGCTCATACAAATTTTACAAGGTTATTAATTTTGATGTTTCCTATTTGGTGTTTGGACTTGTAATTGTGGTTAAGAATTCTGTTCTTTTAGGTTGTTGTTCTTTACACTTAATTTTTCTGTAGTTGGTTTCAGGTTGCAGGAGGAAGAATTATCTATGTCAGAGAAGTTATCAGTTGCTAGAAATGCTACGAATGAGATGTCTAAAGAGGTAGACTGTCGCAATAAAGATTCCATGTTCCTTTGGTTCATACATATTGGTTCTGGGAGGTGTCTCCTTGGACACTAAACTGCATAATCTGCCTACCTAATTATATATACAACAAAAACTTTCCCTCAGTAAAAGATGGATAGAGGACTCATGGCCTGAAGAAACAGGGGAGGGAGCAGGGACGAAGTTTTTTGGTTTGAGTGTGTACGTGAACGAGCAAACTAATGTGAGGGAAGGTAGTGAGAACTGAGTTGGCAACAGTATAGGCAAAAGTTGTTGGGCTTTCATTTTAGAGATCCTGTAGTTCCTGTTTTTTGCAAAGACATCAGTATATATTGAGAATTGGGTACCCCATCCTCATCTACGTGTAGGGAGTTTGACAAATATTGGGTACCTGCTAGCTTCATAAGATATTATGGCACTTCATGGTGCTTGACAAATATTCATATAAAATCAGGTTAAAGATGCTTTATGTATTACGCTGGTTGCCACAAAAGGGAAAAGAAATGCAATTTGGGTGCTCACCCATCTTCTGGAAGCAAGTATCTCTTCCCTTTTCTTAGGAGCAAATTACATGAATGTTAGAAGTTTGGCTTAATGTGAGGGTCTATTGAGGATCATTATGGAGTTGATAACTTACATTTTTGTGGTCTGATCGATCATAATATTATTAGTAGTGGATATTTTTTGCTTTTATTTTTTGTTTATCTTCTAACAGTTTGAGTTCTTACAGCATTAGGTAAGTTAATGTAGTACATAATGCGACTTAAGTTACATCTCTTACACATTCTCTTTTCTCTTGGTATCTTGACACTTTAATATGCACTCATAATATCTATTACTATATGCAGCATATGAGAAACCCATGTTTATAACAATGATGGAATTTGAAAGTTGTTTCAACTTTCAACAACCTATTGAATTTGTATGGTACCTGAGATGCTGGGAGGTGTACAAACTTGTAATCCTTGGTATTTTTGACTAGGATCATAAAAGAAATAAAATGAGTTGTATACTGACTGGTACTCATCAACATTTAGCTACCAGTGCTTGGTTGGACCAGTAAATACTGCTTGGTGCTTACAAATTTGACTGGTATTTTAAACCAATAATGGAACATCCGTTTAGTGAAGGTAGAAGTCCAATAAAAGGGAAATGTTTCATTCTTAAATTATAAAGCTCAAGCAGTTATAGAAGTTCATGTCAAAATGGCAGTTGCATCTCTTTCTTGTCGCCTCTGTGTGTCTTGGGTTTTTAAGGTTCTTCATTAGTTTGTACTTTGTTGTATTTTTTTGGTCCGTGCATTGGCTATCTAAAAATTTTAGCTGATGTTTGCAGATTGATGAAAATGAGAGAAAATATCGTGAGTTACATTCACAGATACGCCAGCTTCAGCAGCGCCAAACAAACAGAGTACAATTTATTTAACTGTGTTATACTGGTTGGCTAACAGATGCATCTTTTACTTGGTAATCATTTATTGTTTTCAGGTAACAGCTTTTGGTGGAGAAAAGGTGCTTAGGCTTTTAAAATCTATTGATAGACATCATGACAAATTCAAAAGTCCCCCTATTGGTCCAATTGGAGCTCATGTCGTACGTGGAGTCCACCAATTGATTCTTTGTTCTTTTCAAGCTTAACTATTACATAGTGATATATGGCTAACATTCTCATGTGATTTCAATATAAATACTTTGCCAGCAATTGAAATTGTAATTTCATGACACAGACATTGGTTAATGGTGACATATGGGCCTTAGCAGTTGACTGTGCTATCGGGAAGTTATTAGATGCTTTTATAGTCACCAACCATAAGGATTCACTTCTTTTACGAGCTTGTTCTAGAGAAGCAAACTACCATGACCTTCAGATCATCATCTATGACTTTTCAAG